GCACAAGCTAAGATCATGTCTACTGTATGTCTTATGAAATAGATTCTTCTGAATAATGAAGTTCACGCCAAAATTTCAGAGCTTGTAGATAAGCAAGTGACAACCAGTTTCAGGCACAGTCCATTTCACTGGGATTTATTTGTGGGTTTTTTTGGTTTTTCCCCCATGGCCAGCTGCTTCTCTAATTTCATTGCGTAGCATGGCAACAGCACTCTAACACTACTCAGGCTTTGCTCCTAAAGAAAAGGGGGTGTGTGCCTAGCAGTAGTAAGGGTCCTGCAATGCATGTTTACCTTTAAGTCCCTGTTTCTGAGTCTCTGCAGGAGTTTAGGGCAAAGAGACAGGAAATTTGAGGCCAGGGAAACAAAGGAAAACTGAGGGAAAAGCCATCTTTCAATCCCAGTGGACCTGCCTGAGGGAAAGAAAACTTCCCTGAACCGTGCAACAGTCTGCAGCAATTGGAGGTAACACCTAGCAGCAGCAAGGACAAGCCTCACTTTTCCCAAACCCTCTGCAGACCAAATGCAGCACTTGCAGGTCTGAGGTAAAGTGGTTTTCAACACAACACAGGCAAAACCAGGGAACAGTAATTAAAAAAAAAAGGAACAAGGATCCAGTCCTTTTCCAGGCAAGAGTCGCTCTTTCCTCTTCGGGACTCCTAAATTAATCCTTTCAACTGTGCTACCAAAAAGACTGGGAATACGAGGAAAAAGCAAGGCTATAGGTTGGGAAGTTTCATACCCCACAACAACTCCTCCGTGGGATTAAAAGTCTTACAATACCATCTCTCTGTCTCCAAAGGTCTTTAGTCAGGTGCTACTGATGGAAAGAGACTACCAGAAACCTGCATCCTGTGAAGTCATTTCAAACTGTTCATCCTCCCGCAGAAGTATTTTGGCAAGAATGCAGCCAAAAGTTTCATTCTAGTAAATCCCAATCAAGCCCCAATTATTTTGCATGAGCTCTGATGGGAACTGATACAATACACTTTTACTTATAAGCCCACTTGATTAGAAACTACAAATTGTAAATAAATGCCTAGGAGCAGTTTAGACCTAAGCTTCAATATGCACCCAAAATATCACTGTTTTTACAGGAAAACTGACTTACAGATTAAGAATTTTCCTCAAAAATTCAAATCAATCGACATATGACCCAACAATAGAACACAGATGTTTCTTACAGCAATCTTATTCAAAGGTTCCTGGAACTGTACTGCTCATTTTCCCACACAAGTTTCTTGCAAACATGATTTCTTTCAAATGATCTTTTAACCTAAGGAAAAACCATCTGGTTCCTATTTATTTACAGAAACTTATAAACTTGACCCAAAGGTCTGTACCCAGCTTCGTGTATAATCTTGTGGCTAAATATTGCTGGAGATGCTTTTTTATGGAGGGAAATAAAGAAAAAACAAACAAAGAGCAAAAAAACCCCACCATGCAGCATGTTCACAATGTCCTGGTTGACAGTCCCTCTGAAAATCATTACTGAAGCCAATGGGTCTCTGGTATATACTAATCATAGCAATATCCATAATTAATTTCTCTCCAAGCCACGTCCAATCCACTGTAGGGTACTGCCAGCATTTATCCACTCCATGCAATCTTTTAAAACGTGAACAGAATGTTTCTTGTTACTGTCATTACAGCAAATCCAGTGTTTACTTTTCACCTTTCATCACCACCACACAGAACAATTATCATGTCTCACTTCCGAATTGAATTAAAAGGATAAATTCAAAGGCACTATGTAACATGGGCTTGTTTTGTAGAAACTGAACCAGTCAAACTGGGGAAAAAAAAAATCTGCACAAACCCCCTGTTAGAATACAATTTAGGTGTGACTTTACCCATGTCAATCCAGGAAAATCACTGTTTTCTATTTTAGCAAGACAGTTGCAAGCATTTTCCAAGAAGAGTCGATCTCTCTCTCTCAACACTGCTACAGTGTCTGTCTGTTTGCTTTAGAGCTTTCGCATTTTAATGTTATTTTTTAATGTGAATCCTTAAGTATATTGCTACTTAAGATGTGAAGCAAGAAAGAACAGTTTACTTCCAAGGCAGGTAAGTCCCTTAGAAAAAGTCCTCACACACTAATTATAGATGCCTTAGTAAAAGTCCTCCATCCGTGAGTTTCCTCTCACGTTCCTGCCCCTTCTTCCCTAGTACCAATATAGTCTTTTTAACAATTCACTAAAAGCAGATAAATATATCTATTTAATGCTATCTGCTCTTCACATAAAGTTTTTGTCGAGGCAAAATACAGTATTTTTTGAATGACAACTCTGATAGAAAGACTCCTTCATCCTCCCTGTACCTAGACTCCACAAAGCCTTTCAAATCTAGTACTGCATCAAGTACTGCCGAGACAAACCAAGGAATGTTGAATTCTCCATCTTGGGGTTTTCCATTTTCTGGAATTGGACAAAAATCTGCACACGTGTTCAATTTTTTCTGGACAATTATTCTGTGATCTGCATCCCACTGGACAAACAGATTGCTCTCTGTCTCGTATGAGCTGCCACAGAACTGAGAAGAAAACCAAGCAGTGGGACAACTGCCTGCGGGACACAGCACAAAGTGGTAAACATTCCCGCGAGCCAAGCCAGAATGCCTGGAAAGGAAGCAATCCTCTGCTCTGAGCACAGGAAAGTAAATTCCTACGGTTTCATGAAGCACAATGTTTTGTGGTATCTTGTAGCATGTAAGTAAATACACGTCCATTCTGTATTTCAGATTATTTGGTTTGAAGCATACGAGCATGAAGGTCAGGATGGCAGAACTGTTGTTTGGGCTACTGGATACCTGTATTCTCTGCTGTATGCTTTCACCGCATCACTACAGCACCTGCTTGACAAAGTCCTTTGGGAAACTTGCTGTTTACAATTTAGCAGACTACCAAGACTGCTCTGCAGCCTCACAGGTGACATTAATACACAAGAATAGCTTGTTTTGAAAGAGCTTTCTTGAATTTGACAGTAGTGGGAAGAGAAATGCCACACAGCCCCTAGACTGACATTTCTCCGGTTTACGTTATGCTCTACACCTCAGCCCCTGAGATGAAGTGAAAGCACAGATTCTGCTAGCTGAAGAGAGACTGAATGCACAGTGTAAACAAGCACGTACAGGATTATTCTTTTTAAATTACTGTCATGTCACTGTCCAAAGTCAGCTAAAAATGCCTCCACACTCCAAGACGTGGCTGGGGCACACAGGGCCGGACATCTGGGCACATACTGGCAGACAGGAGGTGGCAAGGCCACGGAAAAGGAAAAAGTGCTGTGGCCTGCATGGATCCTGTAAGTTGGATTTCAGTTAAAACATACCGTAATTCTTGAAGTACAGCAGTTAGCACCAGTAGAAACATATGTATGGCAGTCCACAACATTCAAACATTCTGTACTCCAAATGTTTTTTGCATTTTCAAAGATTTGTATTAGAAGAGGATTCTATTTATTAATTAAAAAAAATCTCTAATCCTAGCATACGTAAACAATACACAACACTTCATTTTTTTTTTCTTCTTCATTAGTTCTAGTTCATCTTACTATATGCCCCACCGCTGCATAAAGCTAGAAAGTGCTGGGGAATTGCTGCTAATTAGTGCTTTGGCTATAAACAAACTGTTAGCAACCAGTTCCCCAAGTTCCTATTTAGAAAACTCATGGTCCTTCTTGATTCTGAATATAGAATGAGAACATTATCAATTTATATCACTCTTTGACCCTAATCAAAGGAAGTATGGACTCAAACACGTTCTCCCAGCTGGGTACCACTGTCTTTGTGCACCAAAACCCAATAATGAAAAGATGACAGACTAGATTATATTATATCCACCCCATTATTTCTAGAAGCATCCTTCTGAATACTGTGAAGAATTCACATGTATATGAAAGCAGTTGCATGCAAACATGAGGCTATGATAAATACTGATTATTAAAAAAATCCAGAAAACAAACAGGATTCATTCAGTTCCTGTAAAATTATCAGACCAGCCGAAGCATGGATAAAACATCTCATTCCTGCATTTACTAGTCAAGTTACATCCATCTATCAACAAAAATTTAGATACAAAAACCCTCATTAAAATAAATTCATATCTGCCAACAGGAAAGCAGTGTCATTAGGACTAAAATGGCATTCTAGAAGAAAGCTTGCACCAAATGCAGCAATATGAGGCTAATCCTAACAATATTCCACATCACCTGCAACAGCTTACTGAAAGAATTTTTCCTTGACAGGCCTTGTTTAGTACAAATATACTGTATGTTTTATCAGGGTGTCTGCCGAAAAGTAACTGTCTACCTGTGGCAACTATCACCACAAACGTCACTGGTAATAAAATCAGGAATATGAAAAAAGACAGTATTTGCAACTTTTATCATTACCTCCAGCTACAAAGAAACTGATAGGAGATCAAACCAGCATTGTAAAATGAAATGCAGCCAGTATTATCTATAATAATTCCTGTAACTGATGAAAATTCTATGAAGAGTAGCCCACTCCCTCCCCAAAAAGGCAACAGCAAGTGTCCTTTAAAAATACAGGTATCAAATGTAACCTGGAAACATAATCAGTTTACACACAGAGTGGACACTGATAAAACAAATCACATGCATTCAGGAAAAATAAAAACACACAAACAAACCAAACCACATACCCAACACCTCAAGCCAAAAACCATTCACTCTTTTGAAAATTAAAATTATAAACAAATATTTGAAAAAAATAGAATTTCTGAAGTAGTTACTGCAAAATCAAACTGTTTCTGAGAACAAAAATATTCATTTTTACAACTACTTAGAAAGATATTTTTATTAAATAAGGCCATCTAGGATTACTTCAGGCCACCATAAACCAGAACTTTTACAAGTTCAACTGCAATTTGCATATTCAGATAAAACCACCTTGCAACAGCAGATGTGAATGCAATTGTGTGCATCTATAGATGTCTGTGGATGTTATATGACACGGCATGAAAGGTTAAGAAAAACTCACCTTGTGACAAACTTCTGATTTAATTTCTTTGAGAGCACGTTCAGAGAACACACAGCCACAATTTCTCAAGAAGCAAAACCTTCAAAGAAAAGACAAGACATATGATTGTTCTGAAGAAACCCTGTGTCTTACAGATGTACCTGCAGTGCTATTTCACACAGAAACAATACTGCAGCGGACCAGCAGGACACAGTTAGCTTGCTCTTTACAAATTCTTGCAGCTAACCAAGGTATCAGCACCTTTAAGTAGGCGCTCATTAACTTACATAATGTAAGAAATGAATGAAAAATAGATTAAACATATAAATACATTAAACCACAACACATTTTTGGCATTTCATTATTTCATTCTTGGTACAATTCAGCATGCGTTTATGACAATCTCTCAAGGGGATCTCAGTAAAACAGATGCTCTTAAGATGTTTTTGTACATTTGGTATAGGTCTACACAGGCTTCTCTGAATCATCACCACAATCTGGTTCACTACAAAGCTGCACTATTTGAATGGTTCCACTTTCCACCAAGCTTCCTGGTTTCACTCACTCTGACTGGAGCTCTCCAGCAAAGCTGTCACAAGTGACCTAGCCAAGGCCTGTTCTCCTGTCTCTCTCCTGTCCACAGGGAAGACAGACTGAGTGAAGCAATCACACACACAGTTCATGTGATCTCCCCTTCCTGAGAGCTACTGTTAATCCTTTCCTCTCTATCACCCTCAACTGAACTTAAACATACTAAGGCGGCTCTGGTAAAAATGGGTTTACTTTTCAGGTTCTCTCTTTAATTCTACCTGGCTAATCACTCTCTGGAGGAAAACATACTTTGCAGCTATCAAGCTGTCAATACAACCTCTTCTCACTCGTCAGAAAAAGAAATTTCCAATTTGCCCAAATCAGGATGCAAGGAAATGTTTTTCCTCAACCCATGAAATACCAGATGCCATTGCAGGATTGGAACAGACCTACCAACCACCCCCACTCGGATCCTAACACAGGGAAAGGTTGAATGGCTTAATGTGACACAAAGGGAGATCTCATCTGACCTCCCTCTGCATGCCTGTACCAATCTCCTATGACTGAGTCCACAGACAACTTTTATTCACTTCTCTACAAACATTAACCTCTATTCCTTTATTATACGCAAAAATTCATTCAGAAAAGGATTTTTTTCGTCTGTTCTCATGAACATGAAACAAAAGGACACTCAGTATAGTCTCCTGAACTCTCTCCTTCTGACAAGAGGACAAATTTTCCCCACAAAGGCTTAAATATATGAGTTGCAACATTATTGATCAAACATTTTTACCTGCCCTATATGCAGTTTAGCAAGTGCCCACTAGAAGTTTGTCTAGAAAAAACAAAATCCAGAAACTTACTGACCTATGTTTTCCATTCATTTCCAGTCCCACCACAGGGCATATAAAGCGTGCAGACTGCATGTCATCATACTTGTCACCTTTGATACTCTCTTTATCACCACTCCAAGCTGGATTATCCGCGAGGTTTAGTTCAGTTACATTCTGCAAAACAAAAATGCAAGCCTTAAGCGGTTTACTAATGATTTTTGAGCCATAACATTCCCTAAGACTTTTTTCACTGTGGTTTACTATTTTTAACACACAAGCAAACTGAGGTTTTATAGCCTTTTTCAACTTTCATGGTATTCTTTAACATTAGACACAAGCTGTTTACCTTAATGCTCTTGATATGTGATGCAGCTTCCAAAGGAATTTTGTCAGCTGACTTGTCCAGCAAATATTCAATGATGGCATCCTTATTATACAACCTGTAACATAAAATTTTTAGTAGTAATGTTTGAGTCTCATAACATTCTTTTATTCATAAATTAGGACCTCTTAGTATCGTGGTCTATATGGAAACACTCATACCTGCCTAGCTCACAGGCTACAATTGGTCGACATAACTTCTCTTGACTCATAGCACAGTAGAACCACCTTGCCACCAACTCAGCATTTTTGTCAACCTGAAGAAGAAAAATACTTATGATTTTAAAATAGCTTTTATTTATAAATTATTTAAACATAGAATCAAGTAATACTCAAAGCATTAATCAAATCCCCAGATATCTTGCCAAACCTACTTTCTGCATTCAAAGCCATTCCCGAAAATAACTTTAGCAAAACCTTTTAGCAAAATTCATGACCAGTTTTGCGTGTCTATCTCTACCTATTGAACACACTTCTGCACCTTGGGATCTATCTTCCTAACTCTAACCCAGATTTATTATTTTTGGTCACTTCCATCTGTCCCCTTCCCTCTTTATCCTTTTTTGCTCTTCACATATTCTCCACTACCCTCTTCTCTCTAGTTCTACACCTCACCCTTGCTGGGGTCAACTACCAGTTCCACTCCTTGCAAGCAACAAGGTAACAAGAAGACCAAATATGGGGATGCCAGGATGCTACTAGACACTCCAGTCTAAAAACAGGAATCTTATGGCACATTAGGCCATAAAATAAAGGTCGAGGCTAACAGCTACTCTGATAGTCAGGTGTGTGGAAGAAGTGGATTTTATTTACTTATTTTACATCAGCAAGTGTAATTTGCCAAAGTTTTTTGCCACTTGTTGTGAGAATTTTTCCCAGTCTTCATCCACTTATCCACACGTGATGCCACTGTATATCCATTACCCTAAAACATTCTAAAAAGAGAGTCCAAGCAACATTCAGAATGCAAGCAGACAGAACGCAGAAGCAGTCAATGGCCTGGTCACACTATTAAATGATCTGTTACCAGCAGACACCTAGGTGAAGGAGGCCCCTAAACCCCATGCATTCAGCAGAATGACTTATGTCCCAAAAGCCCTCCAGACGACAAAGCGATCTTTACTGCAGCTGTCACTAGCGCCGCAGACAGTCACCCCGAGGCGGTACCCGCAGACCGGCCCAGGGCGTGCAGGAGAGGGCTCTCCCCCCCCCTGCCAGCCCCAGGGGAGCCATGCCCGGCTCGCAGCCAGCCCGGGACGGGCAGGGCTGACCAGGCTTCCGTGAGGCCTCGCT